CATCTTCTAGACTTGAATCCTTGACTTTAAGATCAATCCAAGCCTTCAATTAAGCTCCAAGATCACTCTAGAACTCTCTCTCTCTCTCTAGAACTTCTCTTTGTTGTTTTGGGTCGAAAACGTAGAGAGATAACCAAGTTCTTCTAAAAAAACCAGCTCCCCTTTCTCTTTCCCAGATGCTATCTTTTATATGCCCGACAACACAGACTTCACGGTCACTGCTCATGGGTGTGATAATAGTAAGCAGAAGGTGATCTTGGCCAAAAACGCACCATTTTGGTCAACATTCACGGTCACAGGGTGATTGTCACGGTCTAGAGACAATGATATCCGACTTGCCCGCGAGATGGACAAAGGCTGCTCGAAATTGAACACTTTACCATCTGGAGGAGATTTTCACCCCCTCAGGACGTGACAATTTCCTCATGCCCGTGAAGTCTTGCACTTCACCCCCTAGAGGAGATTTTCACTCACTCAGAGCGTGACATTTGCATCCTTCATGTGAACATTGCACTAGACCTCCATTTGTTTTGCTCTTTTTAAGCTCTGAATGATCCGAAACTCGTCCTCGACCTTCCCACACATACTAGTACCTGAAATGTGACAAATATGCACAACCTAGCATAAAATAGGTCGATGATTGACGATAAACAAGTCAAAAAGTTAAGATATGAGGGGGTACGTAAAACATGTGTAATTATGCCCGAATCAACAACGCCACTAGAGTAAGGATTTTGCGAGAGACCCCAGGGAAATATGATTATGGCCTTCGGGCCAGGTGAATTTGGTAAACTTTACGCTATATTGACAATATCATGGATGTACCCCTTCAAGATCTTCTAGATCATTTTCTCAAAGTTCAACGTAAAAATTTGTATAAGAGAAAGTAAGGGTAGAGCATGAAGAGTTCACCATTTACAAGGGCACTCTTGGTGAAAAAATGGAGGATGATAATCCTAAAGTTGGAAACCATGAAGAAAATTTCAAGATCTTGGTGGAGATGCATTATGGAGTCAAACCAAATCTCAATAGACTACTTGATGAAGATCCATATGCAACATTTCTGAAGAGCCATGAGACCGTAGCGTCATATATATCTAACTCAAAGAGGGGAGTACATGAGTCCCTCCTTGTATCGTTATCTCTACATGTTAAAAATTCAAAGTGAGAGGTAAAAGGTGTAAGGTGGAGATTAAAATGGATATTACTTCATGATCCACTATCAAGCCAAAAGACAAAGAATGATGGTACATACACTTGGAGTCTGCAATCAAAACAATAGACTTCAAGGAAGCCTTAAGTTGGATTAAGGAAGCCCTAAGTCAAAACAATGGACTTCAAGGAAGCCTTAACTCTGCAATCAAAACGATGGACTTTAAGTAAGCCTTAAGTTGGAGTTGCAATCTAAATGATGGACTTCATGATCCACTATCAAGCCAAAAGACAAAGAATGAACTTGAAGTCTGCAATCAAAATGATGGACTTCAGGTAACCCTTAAGTTAGGGATCTTGAAGAATAAGGAGCTATGCCTATGTCAAAGGCATAAAAGAAAGTGCACTTCATGGGATGTAACCCATGTCTGGAATCCAACTTAAGAACGTAAAATAAAAGTGTTATCAAGGAGACAACCTGAATTTCCTAAGTTTATTTTTCAATTTCATTTTGAGCAGGAGAAGCACTTGCTTTCCCTCTATTTTGTTGCTTTGATGTTTTTATTTTGTTTTTCAAATCCAAAAGAAAAAAAGGGAGAAATGGAGTAAGGTAATCCAAGATGCTGAAATTGATGAATCCTTAAAAAATAAGGAGAATACACTCGGAAATGGAAAACGAAAAGGAACAACAAGTTGGCGGGCAAAGGAAGGTATAATATCCATTTTGTGGCTTGTCATCTTGTTTTCAAACCTCCTATCTACCTCCTTGTTTCACCCATCGAGTTGGTGATCCGGAGATGCAACGACCTTCTCATCAAGCAGTGGTCTGAATGCCGCAGGGGCACATCATCCCTGAACATGTCGCTCTCCTTTTGATATGTCCTATCGGATATGGTTTTTTCTTCTCATGTGTCTTTGAGGTCGCTCCCCTGGGCCTTTGGAGGCTCTTCGATGGGTTTCAATCTTCATTCGGCTAGTCTGGAGGCGATCGAGCTACGGTGATGATGTTGGAAGGTGCAGTTGTCTCTAAGGATGGCAACAAAACCCGAACCCTCGAGTACCCGACCCGACCCAACCCGGTCAAAGCGGGTAAAATTCGTGTTGACCGGTTTTGGGACGGGTTTGGGTTTAAACCCGTTTACTATTTACCGGGTTGGATTTAGGTAAACCCGCCCCATGGGTACCCGCCCACACCCATATAATTAATTATTTCGGTATATTTAATATTCTAAACAACTAATCTTCTTTATGTTTGTGGAGACATGTCTAATTTTTTCTTTCTAATTATGTATAATGAAGTTGATATTATCGAGTGGAGAGTCAAGAAGCTTAATTGACAATGAGGAAGAAGTTTTCAATTAATCATGTTGTTTAGGGATAATTTGTGATTTGCTTCAATTTTCTTGAGTTTTCTAGATTGGTGTTAAACAATTTGTATGGTTAATTTGTGATTTGCTTGAATTTTCTAGAATGGTGTTTTATATATGGATAATTTTGTATTGAGAGATTGATATTGGACTTTTATTTTGATAGGAACTTGTTATTGTAAAAAACCTATGGGTACCCATCAACCCGCGGATACCCAACGGGTTGGGTTGGTTTTGAGTTTTTCAAACCCAGTGAGTTTTACCCCGGGTTTTTTCACGGATATACCCATGGGTTTGAGTTTGGGTTTGGGTTTGGCAAAACCCGACCCATTGCCATCCCTAGCGTCTCTGTGGGTGATGGTTCACATTCGAAAGATAGGTTTCCTATGGACTCAAAGTTTTGGGCTCTTTTCATCTTTGCTTCCCGTTACTTTACTCTAAACTTTGCTCGAATCTTTGAAGTGCAATATAAAAAACTTCACTGTAAAAAAACACTACATAATTCTTCTAACCAAACCACCCCATGATTGGAGTAATGGCGGTGGAATTACCAGCCAACCATATAGTGACCAGATAAAAACAGCTTCACTACCACCACAGCGCCACTACTTTCCTTTCCATCTTTGTACATCCATTAATCCTACGCCTGTTTGGAATAGCTGCAAGAAATGGGGGAAATCTGCTGGATGTGACCCAAAATCAACATGCTTGTCGGTCTCCATATAGCATCAGGAAAAAAGGAAGAAACCAAAAAGTGCATGCCTGCTTAGCAATGAATGTAATTCCAACTGAGACATCCATCGATACGTTCATACACACACAGACAAAGGTCAAACTGCTTGTTTAATTCATTTCTTTTTTCCCCACTTCTGTCCTGGTAAATAAAACCTTCTTTCGCAGTAAACTTTCACCAACTGTCCGAAACATCAAATCTCTGAAAACCCAGAGACTTTTCAGGATGTTAAAAACAGAAATGTACAGAGTTTGTGTTGGGCGAGCTAAGCTAAGATAAGCTAGGGCTCCTACTCTTCTGTTTTTGTTTTGTATGGTTGTCGTTTGTAAGTATGTGCGTGTGAGGGAGTGAGCACGCATGGAAAGTGATCAGAAAGGGGGGTTAATAGTAAGTAAGGTAGCTAGGGAGACAAGTTAGTACCAACAGCAGATGCATGGATGTTGATTGAACCTTCCTTCTTTTCTTTTCCTCTTCCATATTATTGTTTGTTTGTTATTAGGGTTTCTAGCTGGCCAACTATTCACCATGCATACATATAGGGTTCGATATTTATTTTCAACGCGCTAGCTGCTCCACCAGCTACACCACAGCCGGACACCAAAAAAGGTGAGTTTTGGAAGGCTTTTTAACTTGTTATATTATGGTTGGAGGATAAAATTAAGCAGGAGGGTTGGTTTGTAGAAGTTGTGGTTTAGGTTAATCTTCTTAATCTCGTACTTATGACGTCTGTATTCTCTTATTTTATCGTATAGATCTATCTAATCAAGAACATAAAATAGTTATACATGTTAGTTATATCGTGTTGTATAGATGGTCCAACTTCAAAGATTTACTACAAGATGTCAAGTAGGTAGAATAGTTTGGGATTGATACACAACTTTTTTTTTTGTTCACAATACCAAACTAGTTTCATTATGATAATTTCACAAAGTTTCAAAATTCGTAGTAATTTGGAAATAATAATATTTTTCATACTCTAAGTTCAAATTTTGGGATAATGCCCATAAAAAAGATTTGGGATAACAATCACCCTTATGTATATACATAAGAAAATATTAAATTTGCTGAGAATCAGTTAAGTCCAATTGAGAATTCATGATGTATTGTTATCCGTATTTAACTTTTAATTCATATATTTTGTAAGTGAGTTTAATATAAACAGATACTCAAAACTTAAGGGTGTTTGTTGCTATAAGTTGTCTTTTTTTATACAAATGCTATAAGTTGTTGTTGGGGGTATGGCTCGGGTCTAGTCGCGCCAATAAGTTAGTCCAGTGCTTCATACGCACCCACTTGCCCCCGCCTGGGTAGTGCGCCTTTCTCCGCGTTAACAATCGACACACCCTTTCACCTTGTTCTCCGATACACTTGCCCTATTCATATGCGTGCCCCTCTGCCCCTCGTTCGCTCCTACCGTGCGCCCCTTGTCCCATTCACTTCGGGACCCATGCGCCTCCTGGGGGCTCCCATAATCTATGTGTTTTTATTACTACTATTATCATTATTACTATATTTTTTTTTCTTTTCTTTCTCGCGTCTGTCCCCCTCCCTTCCTCGCTCTTTGTGCCATTATGCCTCTTGTGATTCCCACTTTCTCTCCCCCACCCCCCAATCCGCTTAGAATTTGAAATTTGAATTTCGAAATTGAAAGTGGATTGGTGTGATCTCTTCGCCTTCCCCCACCCCCCCTTCTCCTCTCTCTCTCTCGCCCCATCCGCCCTTTATAAATCCCCAACTCCTTCTACAACTCACAATTTGCTTTCCACCTTCTCTGTACTATCCTCTCTAAACTTCCCTCCTCGCGACACCCTTGCTCCACTCTGTCCGCCCTTCTGTGCGCCTCGGACCTTGCCATGGCGTCTTCTCAACAAATCCCGCTTCCTTCCGACGCGCCAGCGCCCTCTGATAGGCGAGCCGCCGCCGCTCGCCAAACTCTTCCCACAACGGATGCGCCTCCCGCCACACATGCGCCTTCCGCATCGCATGCGCCTACCTAAGGCCAGGCCGCCACGACCGCCAACTCTCCCAGTGCGTTACTGATAACGATGAAATTGCACATGTTTGCGCCCCTAGTTCTTATCCGTTTGAGGGGCATAGTCGTGTACTTTTGGCCTATTTTACGCCGGGTTGTGCTATTTTGTCATGTTTCAGGTCCCAGGTGTCAAAGGGAAGGCTAAGCACGAGTTTCGGGGCATTCGGAAGTCATTTCGGTGAGCTGGAGCCAAAACACGGGCAGCCTAAGGCATTACACGGCCGTGTACTGCTGGCCGTGCTTTTTATGCCGAGAGCAAATTCAGTTTGGCTAATTCAGCTGCAAACACGGGCACCGAAGCACGACCGTGTTCAGTCGAAGCACGGCCGTGTACATTGCGAAGCACGGCCGTGTTTAACCCACTTGCTGGCCGTGTAATTAAGCCCTGGCCGAGGCACGGGCGGAGTCAGGCAAAGCACGGCCGTGCCGTCGACCGTGCTTTGGCCACTGATGCTTTTAAGCAGATTTTCAGCCAAAAACCAAAGGGAGAGCTGGGTTTTTGGATCCCAAACACCCAAGGGACGAACCAAAGAGAGAGAGAGGGCGATTTGAGGGCATTCTTGGAGTAGAGAAGGAGGATTTCTTCGCCTTGGAAGCTTGAGGAACAAGCCCGGACTTGAAGACTGATCATCTGAAGATTCTTACTGCAGTCTCTCTCTTCTCTATGGAGTAACTTCCCTTCACTTAGGTTTTGAGGAACCCTAGCTATGTTTGTTTGATTGGATGATTGTATGATTACTCTGACTTGATAATCTTGAGTTCATATTCAATCTATGCATGTTTTCATGATTCAATTATGCTTTAGTCGAGATTATTGATTCTGCTTTGATTCTATGAGAGGGAATACCTGATTAGGTCAATAGAGCACCATAGATTGATAGTAGTGGATCGATTGCTTTAGTCGAGGGTTGATTCACTGCTTTGTATCGATTGAGAACCCCTTTCGATAGAGGGAGTCTAGTTCAGAACGCCTTGATCAGTTGTTCTAGAGAAGGATACGTCCCTCTAGGCAATTGACTCAAGAGGGCCTTGTTCCTTTAGTCGAGACTCAAGGTCTAGTCAAGGATTCTCCGCATTGCGAATGAAAGTGAAACAGGTTAGAGATCATCAATCATTAATCTGGTTAGTGGCTAGGGGGAATCATACCTAAGTGAGTTCCCAACCTATAATTAGATTAACTTTAACTGTAGTTTGCTAGAGTAGTTTTAGTTCTTTCATCTTAATCTGATTTGCTAAATAATAAACTGAAGCTGAGTAATAGTAACTCTAGAGACCCGTGGATTCGATATTTATCACTTGAGCCACTATACTGCAGTCCCTTTCATTGGTTACACTTGGCCTTTGTTAGGTGTTGTGTTTTAGAGCAGTCAAGTTTTTGGCGCCGTTGCCGGGGACTTTCTAGAGTATTAGGAAAGGCAGAAGTTTGTTACTTTAGCGTTTTTCTTTTCTTTTCCACCCTTGCTTTTCACTTGGGTGTTTTTGTTTTTGTTGGTGCAGATCTGAATCATGGATCCTAATGGCTTCTCCAATCATTGGGGGTATCCACCACCACCTGAGTGGTATTACCCCGAGACTCCGTGGAGCAATCAAGGCGGAGAAGACTATGGATTCGGGTTCCAGTATCAACCCCCTTACTACGGAGAACAACCGGATCCCTGGGCATATCAAGAACAACCTCATTACCAAGAAGAATTTTTCCCACAACCAGAGGGGCCATTGGAGCTGGAGTTACCCATGGCTGCCTTCACGGGCCATTCTGCAGAGCCATGCTACACTCCACAGCCAGATCCACACTATGAATTGAGACTTCTCATGGAGCAGTTTGCTTGAGACTGTGATAGAACATGCTCCAGGATGGATCATTGTGTCCAGGTCTATCGTGAAACAGAGGAGATCCTCCTGAGCCTTAAGAAGAGCGTCGATGATCTTGAGCGATCTTGGGCACAACCTGCTCCAGATCACCCTTCTGCTACCATACAAGAAGAGGAGGAGGAAGAAGAAGGCTACAAGGACATTGTGGAGCACACTAAAGTTGTCACGGAGAGCTCCCGTGATGATCATGATCAGGAGTGTCTTGTCGTAGCCGACCACACCTTCCCACACCCCAAACTGCGCTTTGAAGAGGCGGGCATGAGTGAGGAGTTGCAAGAAGATCTGATGAAAGAAACTGCTTGGCAACTTGCTCTCCAATCCGTGCTAGAAGAAGAAGAGCAAGAAAGGGTGCAGAAAGAAGTTGTGGAGGATGGCGAAGGTGAAGCTGGAGAAGTTCTTGATCATTTCCCAGGGGTGATACCACATGAAGAAGGAAGGGAGGTTAAAGAAGCAATTGGCGTCCAGGCTGAGGACGAAGTTGAGGTGGAAGAGGCTTGCACCGGCCATGAGTTACATGTGATATCTCCACCAAACTTTGAGGAATTGCTTAGCAAGGACCCATTTGCAGTGTCTCTTTGCCAGACCAAGGCCACCTCGACATCGGTCCCTCTTGGTGGACGCGATGGTCGCCAATCGATGCTGTCATATCTAGTTTGGGGCAATGAGACGAGAGAAGAGAAGGAGAGGACTCGAGGGTGGAGACCTCATCTGCATCAAGTGCACGAGCTTCCATCTACTGTCATACCACATGCTCGTGACTTGAGATTCCACCTCATCGACGAGAACCTCAACTTCAAGGAGGTTCTAGCATGGACCGAAACTTAGGAGCCATCGTCCGGCTCACGACGTGAAAGAAGCGCTTGTTGGGAGGCAACCCAACCAGTCGGTTTGCATTTCTTTCTCTTTTTCTCCTCGGTTGAGTCAGTTTTGTTATTTGATTTTAGAGTCAATAACTCAACCTTTGTGAGATTTTGTTAGGTGTTGTGTTTTAGAGCAGTCAAGTTTTTGGCGCCGTTTGTGTTCTGATTACTCTCTCTTTCTGGATGGCACCGCCTGACCCGTTCATCATCATTCACCCTTGATCTGGTAACTTCGTTCTACCCTCCTTATCTTTCCTCCATTGAGGACAATGTCGTGCTTAAGTGTGGGGGGATGTTCGATTATGTATGCGGGTGAATGTTTGGCTGTTTGTGTGCTTGGAGCCTAGTCCACTGTCCAAATTTTTAAATTTGAGGGCTCCAAGTACGTGTTCCTTACAATTGCCTGCTCAGTATGCTTTGAATTGACAGTCTTTATAGTAATATGCAACCTAGGGAGGTAGTGTAGCACTATGGAGGATGTTGATGCATTTAAGAAGTCTCATTTCTTCTTCATATTGAGTTGGTTGATTGAGTGAATTAGTGATCTTAGGACCCTTGAATTGTGTGGTGTTGTGGATTCTCTACCTGTCAGGGACTCTTGTATCATGTTTTAAGTTTAACAGGTGCTCGAAAATGTGCTTCAAAATAACGTCTCCCGTGCGAATAGGGCGAAAGTGTGTAAGGGGAGACGGGAATCCGTTCCCAATTTCCACCTACTACCTCCAGCCCCCTTACATGTCTTTCCCCCGCACGAGGCTCGAGACATCTGCTCCTGGCATGGCCGGTAAGAGCCGGTTGGGACCCTTGAAAAAAAAATCACAGAAAACAAGCAAAACAGAAAGAAAAGGGGTTCCAACCATCTTCAAAGAATATAGAGCACCTTGAAAAATGTGAGTCCATGATCTTTTGTTTTTGAGAATCTCTTCATCCACAATTCATTTGTCCTCTGTTCACTATTTGCCATGATGCCGACTCGATACTAGTGTTCTCGCCGAAGAAGCTATGAGATGACTTGTGCGTCGGTTGACCTCGTAAGCTGCTAAATGATCTAGGAAGTCCTCTACCTACGATCTGGGTTGTTTGTTGCTATAAAGGTCTGGAGAGTTGCATTGGTTTGAGTTAGGTTTGCTTGGGGACAAGCAAACGGTTAAGTGTGGGGGAGTTTGATAACGTTGAAATTGCACATGTTTGCGCCCCTAGTTCTTATCCGTTTGAGGGGCATAGTCGTGTACTTTTGGCCTATTTTACGCCGGGTTGTGCTATTTTGTCATGTTTCAGGTCCCAGGTGTCAAAGGGAAGGCTAAGCACGAGTTTCGGGGCATTCGGAAGTCATTTCGGTGAGCTGGAGCCAAAACACGGGCAGCCTAAGGCATTACACGGCCGTGTACTGCTGGCCGTGCTTTTTATGCCGAGAGCAAATTCAGTTTGGCTAATTCAGCTGCAAACACGGGCACCGAAGCACGGCCGTGTTCAGTCGAAGCACGGCCGTGTACATTGCGAAGCACGGCCGTGTTTAACCCACTTGCTGGCCGTGTAATTAAGCCCTGGCCGAGGCACGGGCGGAGTCAGGCAAAGCACGGCCGTGCCGTCGACCGTGCTTTGGCCACTGATGCTTTTAAGCAGATTTTCAGCCAAAAACCAAAGGGAGAGCTGGGTTTTTGGATCCCAAACACCCAAGGGACGAACCAAAGAGAGAGAGAGGGCGATTTGAGGGCATTCTTGGAGTAGAGAAGGAGGATTTCTTCGCCTTGGAAGCTTGAGGAACAAGCCCGGACTTGAAGACTGATCATCTGAAGATTCTTACTGCAGTCTCTCTCTTCTCTATGGAGTAACTTCCCTTCACTTAGGTTTTGAGGAACCCTAGCTATGTTTGTTTGATTGGATGATTGTATGATTACTCTGACTTGATAATCTTGAGTTCATATTCAATCTATGCATGTTTTCATGATTCAATTCTGCTTTAGTCGAGATTATTGATTCTGCTTTGATTCTATGAGAGGGAATACCTAATTAGGTCAATAGAGCACCATAGATTGATAGTAGTGGATCGATTGCTTTAGTCGAGGGTTGATTCACTGCTTTGTATCGATTGAGAACCCCTTTCGATAGTGGGAGTCTAGTTCAGAACGCCTTGATCAGTTGTTCTAGAGAAGGATACGTCCCTCTAGGCAATTGACTCAAGAGGGCCTTGTTCCTTTAGTCG